GCAGAGGAGCTTATCAAAAAATTGGCTTACGGGCTAAGAAGGGTGGATGTGTGACAGTTAACGAGACAGTGGCAGAGGTGAAGGCACAGGCGCTGGTGGATACAGGCAGACACACCAGCACAAGTCAAGACTGATACAGTTGTTTACACACGGCACAGGTAGAGGCTGTAGTGGTTTTCGACATGCGAGCTGACAGGCTTGCAGTCGAGAAGGTGGAGACACTTGCCAAGCCACTGGCCGAGATCAACGCTAAGGCGCTTTTTAAAACACTGGGTAACATGGTAGCAGTAGTAAAGGTAGACACACTTGCAGACAAACTGGCCAACGTGGAGGCGAAAGCGGTGGTCGATACACTGGCTAACACACTAGCAGAGATGCAGATGCAGACACTTGGCTACACACTGGCTAAGGTGGAGGCCAAGGCGCTAGTGGAAGCACTAAGGGAAAGAATAGCATAGGAGGTTGGAAACATTCTAAAACACTGTGGGAAAGATGGAAGCTGAGGTTCTGGTCAACAAAATGGCTCCTAGCAGTGGTCAGGCACAGGACACTTGGAGACAAGCTGTCCGACGTGTAGGCCGAGGCGATGGTCGAAACACTCGCTGGAAGACTAGCACACCTAAATATGAAGACACTTGAGGCAGAGGCCTAGGAGGTAATGGACAGACTGTGACACATTAGTGAACAAAGCGATCGAGACACTTTCTGACTCTGGGGCTAACAAAATTAATGGTCGATACTATCGGAGACACACTTGTAATGAAGAAGGTAAATGGTCTGCTTGATGCTCTAGAATACAGGCCAACACAGATAACACACGTGCTTACAGGTTAGTGCAGAAGGAGGTCGAGAGACTCGGTAACACCTCGCTGAGGTAAAGGTGTAAGCACTGCTCAAGACACTGGGCTGTCTGACATGCCACCACAAATGGAGTAGGAGACACCTGGCAACACATTAGTCGAAGTGTAAAGCTGAAGTGCTGTTCTACTCACTGCATGACAGGCTAGCAGACAAGTAGGCGGAGACACTTTGTGACACACTGGCCAGAATGTGAGGCAGACGCGCTGGTGGGCACACTGCCTAACTATCGGGCAGAGATTTAGATGCAGACAATTTGTGACACACTCGCAATGGTGCTGGTTTGCTGAATTGCCTACACAGGTGGAGTTTTAGACACCTTTCAACACATTGGCCGAGGAGGAAAGCAGGAGTGCAGGTGAGCACACCGGCTGACAGGTAAGAAGAGAAGACGGTCAAAGTACTTGGTAACAAACTACCTTAAGTTTAGGCAGAGATGCTGGTCGACGGATTCAGCAAGAGAATTCCAGAGGTGGCGGTTTGAGGAGGGTGACGACACCGTGCCTGGTAGACAAGCAGGCGGAAACGTCGAGACATTTGGCGAAACACTTGCGAGGATGGTGGCAGAGGCGCTGGATGACATAATAGCTAGCAGAAGTGAAGGGCCAGACACTTGGTAACACACTGGCCGAGGTAGAGGCTAAGGCGCTTGTGGACGCCGGTTGAAAGGATAAAAAGCGTAAGGTGCACCACACAAGGCTACACACTGCCAAAAGTGTAGTGCAAAAATCTAATCCAGGTTCTAACTGACCGGCTAGCAGTAGTAAATTGTGAGACACTTGAAGACCAACTTTCGGTGGGTCGTAATTTAATATTAAACTTTATTTAGTTTCATACCGTGGGAACACTTTTTGCATATACAATTAGTGGTACCAAATCCCATAGGATGCGTGTTAGATAATATTATCGGCAGCCATTATATCCTATTGTTGTTTGTGTTAAATTTTTTGTGTTTTTTGACAGTACGTTGTGCTATTATTCCTTCCGTTGTTAATTTATGTATTTCTTGTGTACCAGTTGTCATCTCAAGATTAGGCAATAACGTTACGATAGTAAGGATTATACTGATTTTAAATTATTATCCTTGAATGTTCGAGGGATTCGCTCCGCTACGAAGAGAAAAGCCCTTTTTATGTGGTTAAAAGAACAGAAATCGGATATTATTTTTTTACAAGAAACCTACAGTACAGCAGAAGTTGAAGATATCTGGAGAACACAATGGCAGGGTAAGCTTTTCTTTTCACATGGTACTTTTCATAGCTGTGGGGTAATGGTTCTGGTTAGAGGTGATTTAGATTTCAATTTGATTTCGATTAGGACGGACGATGAAGGTCGCTATATTGTATTAGAAGCTGAAGTGCAAGGAGCAAATTTCTTATTGGTAAACGTTTATGTTCCTAACAAAGTTCAGGAACAGTGCCGTTTTATTGAAAATCTGAATCGATGATGTTATTAAAGATAATGAACCTAAGCTTGTTGTGGGTGGGGACTTTAATGTTACGCTTGAGTCAGATCTTGACTGCTCGGGTGGAAATCCAGCTCAAAAGGCTTCAGTTAAAAGTATTCAGGATTTGTGTCTTGATTTTGATCTGGTCGACATCTGGAGAATTCGGAATCCTACCACTCGACGTTTTACGTGGAGGCAAAGAAACCCATTTATTCAAAGAAGGCTAGACTTCTGGCTAATAAGTGATGTCTGTCAAGAAGACATTGAAGGAACCGATATTATTCCGTCAATAAATTCTGATCATTCTGCGATCATTCTTCACTTCAACAATGTAGACCGGCAAAAACATGGCCCTTCATTCTGGAAATTTAACGCTAGTCTACTTAATGATGAAAATTTTGTACTTTTAATCAACCAAAGTGTTCCGCTTTGGCAAGATGAGTTTAAAGAGGTAATCGACAAAAGAGTATTGTGGGATTTGATTAATTATACTACTGCATGAGAAATTTCTGCAATTTGATTGGCTTAGAGCAGTGGTATTTCTGCTTAATTTGAAATACCTACATGTGAAAATTACAAACCTTGTAAGGGTAGTAGTATAAACAAATAATAGCATGATTTGTACGTGATATTTGGCATAAATACCACTTGTGATATTTCAAAATTGTTTCAAATTTCACTCGCCTAATGGCTCGCGAAATTACGTATAACAATTTCGAAATAACACTAGTGGTATTTATGCCAAATATCACTACAAATCATGCTATTACCTATACGTACAGGATAAGACAGGTAACGATAAATTATAGCAAGGAAAAAGCTCGACAAAGAAGGCAAAAGATATCTGATATTGAAAACTCTCGCAAAGTCTTGGAGGAAAAGTGCGGTAATAACCCTACTACCGAGAATATCGAACAACTTGAAATTTTGAAATTGGAACATGAAAATATTTTTGAGGAATTTTCAAAGGGAGCAATCATTCGCTCGAAGGCAACTTGGTATGAAAAGGGAGAGAAAAGTAACAAATATTTCCTCAACCTAGAATCTCATCGGAAGGCTAAAAGTTCAGTTCGTAAGGTTTTTAGCGAAGAAGAATTGTTAGTCACTGACCCTAAAAGGATTTTGGGGGTTATTGAAGGCTTTTATTCTGGTCTGTATAAGAAGGACGATCTAGAACCTTCTGAAAATCTGATGAATACTTTTTTTGGAAAATCCGCTCATGCCTCGTCTCTCTGTTGACGATTCTCAAGTGTGTGAAGGGAAGTTAACAATTGAAGAATGTGTGAAGAGCCTCAATTCTTTTGAACCCAATAAATCTCCAGGCAACGACGGGTTAACAGTTGAATTTTACAAATTTTTTTGGAACATAGTTGGGGAATTACTGGTAGCCGGCCTCAACTACTCTTATGACGTCTGAGAATTATCAAACTCACAAAAGAAAGCAATTATAATATTATTGGAAAAAAAGATAAGGATAAAAGACACATATCTAACTGGAGACCAATATCTCTGATCAATGTCGATGTTAAAATAGGATCGAAGGCGATCGCTAAGAGACTGGAACGTGTCCTGCCCAGTATTATACATTTTAACCAATGTGCATATGTTAAAGGCAGGACTATTTTTGATGCGGTTAGAAGAGTAGAAGACATCTTAGATCACACTGAGAGATTTAAAATCAACGGAAGATTGATAGCTATAGATTTCAAAAAGGCTTTTGATTCTGTAAGCAGAGAATTTCTTTTTCGTACCCTATCTGCTGCTCGTTTTGGCTCTTCTTTTATCCAATGGATTCACACTTTTTATAATAATATTTCTAGCTGTGTTTCAAACAATGGTTTTGCTACCGCACATTTTGACATTCAGCGTGGCGTCAGGCAGGGGGATCCTCTTTCTCCTTACCTGTTTATTATCGTGTTAGAAACTTTGGCTTCAACGATAAGGCCAGACAAAGATATTCGAGGTATCATGGTGGATGGTCAGGAGATCAACTTAGGGCTATTTGCTGATGATTTAACAAGGTTTTTGAAGAACGACAAATCTCTAATAAAGTTCCTCGAACTTGTGTTGCTGTTTGGTAAATGCTCTGGTCTCGTTATAAATCATAATAAGTCGGAAATATTGTTACTTGGAAACTCTTTCCCCGCGCCCCCCCCCCCAACCTTAATCATACTCCTTTTAAAGACCTAAAGATAAAGATTTCCGTAAAGATTTTAGGGGTATATTTCACGTATGATCGCCGTCTCAGACGCAAACTTAATTTCGATGAAATTACAAAAACCATTAAGGATAAGTTAAGAATTTGGAAATAGATGGATCTTACTATCATTGGTAGAATTCAACTGGTCAAAACATTTATTATCCCCACTTTCTTATACCGTGCTAGCTTAATTTGTATGGATAAGGAATTTGTAAATGAAGTAAACAAACTTATATTTGACTTTATCTGGAAAGGTAAAGACAAAGTGAAACGTCGTGTGCTCGTTGGGGACATTGAAGATGGAGGATTGAAAGCTCCACACTTGGATTCTATTATTAAACCTCAAAGAATATTATGCTGTAAAAAGCTCGCGAGTAAAGACCTTAGTAGCTGGAAAATTATTCTTCTTCATTACTTAACACTAGTAGGTGGCAAATTTATCCTTGGCTGCAACTTCGATGTAAAAAAGCTGCCTATCAAGCTTCCGGGTTTTTATGAGGAATGTTTAAAGGATTTCTCGCGATGCTCCGCAGCAAACAAGGTTAGTCTAGACAGTATTAATACAGTGGATATTTCAAAGATCATTCTGTGGAATAATTGTTATATCTTAATTGGTGGCAAAACCGTTTTCAACAAAAGATTGGTAGATAAAGGAATTGTAAGAATAGGGGATCTTATTACTGTAAACAATGAAATCATTAGGAGCAAGCTAAGGGAGTTAAATTTATCCCCATTGGACGCATTTCAACTTTTTTCAGTGATCGACGCACTCCCGAAGGACTGGCGTCATGCGTTGAAGAGTTATGGATATGATCGCCTTGTTTTTTTCGATCTTCACGAGCAGACTCAGTTGTTTTTATCTGGTAAAGATGTTTTATTAAGTAATGCTGACTCAAAAGGCATCTATGTTGAATTTTTTGAAAAGGATTATTTAAACTGGAAAGAAATTTACAGCTTACCCTACCAGGTTGCCCTTGACACTAAGTCACGTGAATTTCAATATAAATTGTTACACAGATATCTGGCCACCAATGATTTTTTAAACAAAATTGGTATTTCTTCATCACCACGATGTTCTCTGTGCGATGAGGCGGATGAATCCCTTGAACACCTTTTTGTCTCTTGCCTGGTTACTCAGAGTTTTTGGGCAGAAGTTATTAAATGGTGTAGCAATCGGGGGGTGGTTATTAACCATCTCTCTTCTAAAGATATATTATTTGGGATAAAGGTACATAAGGACAATTTATTTAGTAATCATATTTTGCTAGTTGGTAAGCAGTATATATATAATTGCAGATGCACGAAAACAAACCCTTGTTTACGAGTTTTCTTGGCAAGACTCAATAACGTTTATCAATTCGAAACTGTCATTGCCAAATCAAAGAATATAATGTCTTTTCATTTATGGAAATGGCAAGCACTCTTGACAGGTGGTACACTGACAAATACTTGTTAAGGTTTAGTAGTATTGATACTGTCGTTGTGTGTCGTGTGTGCTGTGCGTGCGTGTGTGAGTTATTTGTGTATCATTTTTTTTTTAAAAAATTGTAATGTCGCTAATGTATGTAAAAATTAATGTTATTATTGTACGGCAAGAAACTGAAATAAACAGTGATTAAATTACAAAAAAAAAACTTGACAACGCAAAAGCAGAGGTGCTGGTGGACAGTCGCTTACAGAGGTGGATAGTAAAAGCACTTTTCGAAACTCTTGCTGAGGTTAAGGTTTAGATGGTAATGAACACATTGGGTGACACAATAGCAAACACGGAGTTCGAGACACTTCGTAAAAGGAGGGCCAAAAGAATAAAAAATTTATAATCTTGAAGACAATTGCCAAAGGAAGAGTCTCTGGTCGATTCACTAGGTGACAGTCTAGCAGAGGTAAATGTTGAGACACTTTGGGAAAACTGGTCCACATAAAAGCATAGACGCTGGTCGACGCAATGGCTCATACACTACCATTGGTGCAGTAGTAAGTAGTTCGTCGATACACTAGATGACTGGCAAGCTAAAGCATATCTGGAGATCAATAAACTTTACCAAACGCTAGCGAGACTTAAGCACTGGATACACATTGGGTAACAGGCTACCTGTGGTGTAGGTCGTGAATGCAAGGGCCGAGAGATAGGCCGAGGGGCTGAACGAGACACTGAGTAACAGGCTAGCAGAAAAGATATGTCGAGATCCCTGGTTACGCAACTTCATGGATAAAGGCTGGGGCGCTGCTCGACACACTGACTGTCAAACAAGTATAAACAAGGTTAAAACAGTTGTCGAGACTCTGGCTAAGGTGTAGACTTATGCGCCTGTCAACACACTTTCTGACAGGCTAACACAATCGGAGGTTGAGCAACTTTGCGACAGTCTAGCAGTGGTAAAGGTGAAAAAACGTGGCTACACTGGGAGCTAGGTGAAGGCCGAGGTACTTGTAAAAACAACCTACGACAGGCAGAAGAGCAGGTCGAGACACTTGGTGACACACTCGCAAAGGTGAAGGCTAAGGTATTGGCAGACACACACACAAAAAAAGAAAAAGGTTAAAGTTAGAGATCTTGGAAAAACAATGGCTGATGTTTAGGACAGAGGCAGTGGTCGACCCATTGGCTAACAAGCTAACAGAAGTGGAGGCTCACACCTCTTTGGAAACTCTGGTAGAGTTGAAGGCCGAGGCACTGGTCGTAGAGAACGAAGAGGCGCTTGCCAACAAAGTGACTCACACGATAACATAAGCCAAAAATGATACACTTGTTTACACACTGCCCGATGTAGAGGCTGAGGTGTATGTCGTCACACATTATGACATGCTTGAAGACTTCCAAGACTGTGAGCGAGGTAACCACTGGAACGCGTTTTACACACTGGCTGACAAGCTGGCCATCGTGGATGCAAGGCGCTAGTCGATACACTTGCAGTCAGCCTAGCAGAGATGGAGATGGAGACACTTGTTGACACAAGTTGAGGTGGAGGCCAAGCCGCTATTGGACACACCGTTCGAGAAACCTCAAGAGACACTGATCCAAGTTAAGTCTGAGGCGTACTTCGACAGACTGGCTAAGGGAGTATCGAAGTTGAGGATTAGACAACTGGCAACACCCTGCCTAAGGTAATGACCGGGGCGTTGAACGACAAACTGGCTAAGAGGCAAGGAGAGGTCAAGGTTGATACGCTTGTTACTTTACTGTTTGAGATAAAGGCTGAGGCGCTTATCGACACACTGGCTGACAGGCTAACAGATGTGGAAATAGAGACACTTGGCGAAACAGTGGTCCAAAGATACGCAGAGGTGCTTGTCACAACATTGGCTTAAGGAATAAGAAAGGTGGATGTTAAGACAGTTAATAAGACAGTGGGAGAGATTAGCACTGACGTACGACGAGACCCTTGGCAACACTCAAGCAAATGTGGAGGCTAAAGTAGTAGTCAACACACTGGCAGAGAAACTAGCAGAAGATGCGATCCTGACACTTAGCGAGAAACTTGCTGAGAAGATGGCTCTCACGCTTGTCACAACACTTGCCTACAAACTAGTAGACGTGGAGAGTGAGATAACTGGCCAGACACTCACCTAGGCCAAGTTATAAGCACAGGTGCTGCTTAACAAACTAGCTTAAAAGCTAGCAGAGAAAAAAGTCCAGACACTTTGTACACACTGGCCGAGAAAAAGACTGTGGNCCTGACACTTAGCGAGAAACTTGCTGAGAAGATGGCTCTCACGCTTGTCACAACACTTGCCTACAAACTAGTAGACGTGGAGAGTGAGATAACTGGCCAGACACTCACCTAGGCCAAGTTATAAGCACAGGTGCTGCTTAACAAACTAGCTTAAAAGCTAGCAGAGAAAAAAGTCCAGACACTTTGTACACACTGGCCGAGAAAAAGACTGTGGCGCTGATATACACATTGGTCGCCATGCTAACAGAGGTGCAATTCAAGGCAATAGGCGACACACTAACGACGATGGAGACGGTAGCCTTGGTCGAGACTTTAAGGGACCCTCTAATCAAAATGAAATCTAGGGGCCGATCGACACAGTGAATTACACGGTAGCAAGGAAGAAGATCGAGACACTTGGTGACACACTTCCCTTGGAAAGGAAGAGGCACTTTTCGTCGCACTAACTCACAAGAGAGCAATACTCAAGAACGATAAGGTCGTCTACACTTGGCCGAGGTAGAGGCTGAGGTGTTGTTTTACACACAGGCTGACAGACTTCCAGAGGAGAAGATGGAGACGAAGGCCTAGACACTGGCCGAGAACAACGCTATGGCACGTAAAACACTGGCTAACATGGTAGCATTAGTAAAGGTCGAGACACTTGTACACTAATGGGCCAACGTGGAGGCCAAAGCGCTAGTCAATACGCTGGCTAGCACATTAAGAGAGAAGAGATGCAGACACTTAGCGAGACACACGATAGTGGACACACCGTTCGAGACGCCTCAAGAGACACTGACCTAAGTAAAGTCTGGTGAACAAAATGGCCCTTAGGATACCAATGCTGAGGGTCGAGACACTTGGACACAAGCTGACCGAGGTTTAGGCCGGGGCCATGGTCGATACACTGGCGGAAAGACCAGCATACCAGGAGATGGAGACACTTGGGCTAGACAGTTACTGAGGTAGAGGCCTAGGCGTTAATGGACAGACTGGGTGAAACACTAGGAAAGAAAGGGATCAAGCGCTTTGTGACACTCGGTAACACCTCGTTGAGGTAAAGATGTAAGCACTGCTCAAGACAGTGGGCTTTCTGACATACCAACACAGGTGTAATAGGAGACACTTGGCAACACATTGGCTAAGGCAGAAGCACTAGTCTACTCACTACGTGACAATCTAGCCGACAAGTAGGTCGAGGCACTTGGTGACACACTGGCCAAGGTGTAAGGCAGACGCGCTTTCGACAAACTGGCTGACAGGCTAGAAAAGAAGACGTTTCAAGGTACTTGGTAACTAACTCACTTAGGAGTAGGAAGAGACGCTGTTCAACAGATTTTGCGACAGAATGGTAGAGGTGGTGGTCGAAGAACTAGACGACACAGTTCCTGACGGCTAAGGCTAAGGCGCGTATCGACACATTGGCTTACAGGCTAACAGATGTAGAAATATAGACACTTGCAAACCAGTCGCCCAAAGATACGCAGAGTCACACTAGCACAGATGAAGGTCGACTCACGTGGCAACACACAAGAAAACGTGGAGGCTTAGGTAGTAGTCGAGACACTGGCAGACAAACTAGCAGAGGTGAGGTCCTGATACTGAGAGAGTGAAATAACTGGTAAGAGAGTCACCTAGGTGAAAGCCTGTCGTTGCTCGGCACACTGCCTAACATGCATCCAGAGCAGCAGGTATAGACACTTGGCAGTCCACAGGCCTAGTTGGAAGCACAGGCGCACCTTAACAAACTGGCTTAAAAGCTAGCACAGAAGAATGTTGAGACACTTTTGTACACACTGGCCAAGAAAAAGACTGGCGCTGATATATATATTGGTTGCCAGGCTAACACAGGTGCAAGTCAAGACAATAGGCGACACAGTAACCAAGATGGAAACGCAAGCCTTGGTCGAGACTTTTTGCGAACCTCTAAGCAAAATGAATTCTAGGGGCCGATCGACACAGTGAATTACACGGTAGCAAGGAAAAAGGTCGAGACACTTCGTGACACACTTGCCGTGCAAAGAAAGAGGCACTTTTCGAACTTAACTTGCAAGATAGCATGAGTCATAAATGATACAGTTGTCTACACATGGCCAAGGTAGAGGCTGATGTCTTTATCTAAACACAGGCTGACAGACTTCCGGAGAAGAAGGTGGAGACACTTGGCTAGACACTGGCCGAGATCAAAGCCAAGGCGCTTTTTAAGACACTGGCTAACATAGTAAGAGTGGTAAAGTTCGAGACACTTGCAAACAAACTGGCTAACGTGGAGGCCAAAGCGCTGGTCGATACACTGGCTAACACACAAGTAGAGATTTAGATGCAGTCACTTGGCTAAACACTGGCTGAGGTGGAGGTCAAGGCGGTAGTGGACATACTGAGAGACAGTATAGCAGAGGAGGTCGAAACATTTTACAACACTGTGGGC